GTGATCATTACACAGTTCGGCTCTAATTCCTCACTTCACCATCTGTGTCGCAGTTTCACGTCTCCAAAAAGAGCGTGCACATGGGTCAGGGCAGCTGTGAGGCACCGCACATTTTCACGTCAAGTTTGGATTTTATAAATCACAACCTTGGTGTGAAAAGTGGCGTACGCAAGTTTCTGGGCTCATATTGTGCGTACGCCAGTTTTATAAATCTGACCCCTGGAGCTTGAGGCTGTGAAGTGACGGTCTGATTTCTGTCTAAAGTCTCTGTTTTCATTAAAAACTGAACTGTTCAAAGGTTCTACTCATGATTTTCTGTCTTTACTTTTTAGCTACTCTGCACTAAAAAAAGATGGCGAGCGTCTGTCTAACCTGTTAAGAAAAAGTGTGAAGGTCGAGGCCAAACCTGCAAGACCTGTTACCGTGTACAGCCTGACCCTGCAGGACTTCAAAGCTCCTCTCTTCACTCTGGGTCAGCATGTGGTCCATCCTGGACTTCTCAGTTCTTCTGTGCAGCATGTCGGATGTGTTCGCCTTCTGTTTTGTTTTTGAAATTAAATGTTGTTTTCATTTGTGTAACAGAAATTGAGTGTGGAGGTGGGTTTTATGTCAGAAGTTTGGTGGATGAACTGGGAAAAGGTAATTTTGCTTTCTGGACCCTAACTAAGCCTTTAACTGAAAGAGTAGTTGATTAAAATAACACTTGTGTTTGCTGCAGCTCTGTCATCATGTGCTCATGTGAAGGAGCTGATCAGAACAAAGCAGGGTCCATTCACCCTGCAGGACCACGTCTTACACGAGGACCAGTGGACCCTGGAGAACATCCTCCGGTCTCTGCAGCCCTGCACAGAAGGAGACCAGGACCTGGACCCTCCAAAACTACCAGAGACCAACCCAGAACGAAAGGAAGAAGCACTTTGCTTGAGTCGACCTGTTTGACTCTCACAGTCAGACTCACCAGGTCCAAACTGGTCTGGTTCTGACGTGACCAACATGAGTCTAAAGCGGACTGATTCAGATCCTTTTCTGCAGAACTACAGTTAAAGTAATAAAGTCCTGAGCAGGTGTGGAACATGTAACTCCTCACTGATTGAACTGTGACGCACTGTGTTCCTGATTAAACATTTCACAGCTTTAGCTGATAAAATACCTGGTATACTGCTGTATTTAGGATGATTTTGGACCTTGTAAGTCTTGTATTTGTTTTATTGTTCTTAAGTTACAATAATAAATAGTTCAACTACTTTGCGTAAAAAACAAAACGTACTCAGTATGTATATTCTCGGCCACTTTACCAGGCACACCTTTCCAGTACTTGGTTGTACTGTGTACCCTGTGGACTGTAGAACTGCTTTAATTCTTCATGTCACAGATTCAGTGAACTGTTGGAAACATTCCTTAAAGGTTCTGATCCACATTATCAGTTCGTATCCCACCACTGGTGCAGATTAATCAGCTGCATGTCCATGATCTGGGTCTCTTGCTCATCATCCCAAAGGTTCTGAGACCCAGTCTTTTGTTTGATATGCTTTTTTTTCTTTCTCCAAGATACATAGGATTAGTAGGTTCTATAATTCTGTCATGGTACTGGAAGTACCATGACAGAATTGTAAGACTGATTGTAAGACTTATTTTCTTACCATGAAAATAAGATGGATTCCTTGATTCTGGATAGCAAAGAATGGGATTTCGCAATCCAGATAAATTTGATCCAGATTACATTTATTGAAAAACTGGCCCATGATGCAGAAAGGCAACATTGCATTGTCCTCATATGAGGACATACAGTAAGGTGTCTGTGAATTGGAGCCCCGGTGTCCTGTTCTTAGCTGACAGAAGTTGGAGCTCTTCTACTGTAATTTTTGAGAGATTTTGTTTATCACTACTAGGTCCTAAGTTTACTTCCATGTTCTTGATATTTGGTTTTGGTGCCTTTAAACTATCAGACTTGGGTCTGATGATTTGGTTTCCTTCCAGTTTCCTATCCGTTTAAGCGACAGGTTCTTCTGTGATTCCACTGGTAACAGTTCCTCTAGTTTTATAAAACACACCTGTGGCGTTCCTCAAGGCTCCATTTTTGGCCCACTATTTTCTGTTTGCATGGTACCTCTTGGTCAAATTATTCGCAAATATCTCTTTTCACTTCTATGCAGATGATCCTCAAATTTATTTAGCTATTGATCCGTCTGATCTGTCTGCTGTAAGCATACTAGGCTTGTGTCTTGCTTATATTTAGGTCTGAAAGTCTGATAACTTTTTATTGTTAAACACTAACAAGACTGAGGTGTTGGGTTTGGTCCCAAGGCACATAGAGAACCTATTATTCAAATTTTAACTCTTCAGTATCTTTAGATTTATTGTTTTTTGTGTGTACACAGTGCGCTGAGACAACGTTTGTTGTGACAATGTGCTATGAAGGAAATTTTGTAAATGATTAACTGAATGTAAGATCCATTATTGTATTTTATACTTTCTGATCATTGCATCCTTAGGGCTAAAACAGAGAAAGAGTTGGTGTGTTACCGATGTGGTCTGTATAAACAAAAGCTGGTTATGTTCTGATGTCTGAAGTAAAAGTTACCACCTTCAGGGGTGTAACCAGGAAGAGCCTGAAGAGGTTATAAGGTTGAATCATTCTGAAATGGGGATAAGGTTTTGCAGTCTCTGTTAGATCAGATTGGGACAGCTGAGCTGCTGTTGTTGTGTTTTTCTGATACAGGCCAAACTGTGTGACTGGGTATTGTCTGAAACTGGAGCAGATTGGGAAAAAAGTTTTAAGAAATCCAAGTGGTTCCTGCTGCTATTCAGACATCCCATTATTGAACGGTGCATAATTTTCTACAGCTGCATAAACAAACAGAATTGAATTGAATTCAGATTGACACTGTGCCCATGAGGCTAGGAACCTTGAGGTGGTTTTAGATTCTGATTTGAGCTTTGCAAAACATTTTAAGAAGAATATTAAAACTGGCTTTTATCGAATTAGGAATATTGCCAAAATAAGATCAATGATCTTTTTTGCGGATGCCAAAACTCTCATTCACACTTTTATCTCTTGTCATCTTGATTACTGCCATTCTCTATTTGATGGTCTGCCTCACAAAGTCCTTAAAACATTTCCTATTAGTACAGAACAGAAATATGATCATATTACTCCAGTTCTTGTTTCTTTGTACTGGCTACGTGTGATGTTTAGGGTTGATTTTAGGATTGTATTGTTAATTTTTTATCATTAAATGGATTTGCACCATCTTAGATTACTGTTACTACCCCTTACACCCCTCTGAGATCATCTGATCAGTTGCTATTTTCTGTGCCCTGAGCAAGACTGAAGACAGAGGGTTATTATTATTATTATTATTATTATTATTATTATTATTATTATTTTAGTCCTGTTCCTCCTGACAGAAGTGGTGGAGCTGAGTCAGGTTCAGCTCTGACCACAGGTCAGGTCTTAGTGATGGTCACTTTAAAACATGAACTATGTTGTCCTTCAGTAACTTATCTGTCAGTCTGCTGAGGCTCATTGTCCATTTAAAGACCTGTTTCTGTCCAAACTTTAACTCTGATGTTCTGAGATGTTGCTTCAATATTTACACATCATGATGCTGCCACCTCCATACTTCACAGTTAGGATGATGTTGTCAGGTTTGAAGTTTCCCTCGTTTTTGACCAGATGTGCAGATGATCATTATGACCAAACAGATCTGTTTTAGTTTCATCAGACCACAGGACATGTCTCCAAACTTTCAGGTTTTTGTGAGATTTTGCAAACTGTAATGTGTATTTTATGTTGTTTTGGGTGATAATGGCTATTTTATTGTTTTCTGTCTGAAAGAGTTTTACTTGTGTAGTCCTTTATTACATCTGTTTGAAGTCGTAATATTTATTTCTGTCCACAAGAGGTCAGTAGAGGGTTTTTTAAAGTCTCTGTGCTTTTTTTCTGTCCCTGTCTGACTTCAGCAGGACTCAGAGGTCCAGTTCTGATCCTGTCTTCATTCTTTGAATGAACTGGTTTATAATGACTTTCATTGCTTGCTGCTTTAGAGTGGTCAACTTTCTGATGCTTCATGATGCTTTTATTTATTTTTTATATAAAAAAGAGTGATCAACTCTCAGTGTTCAAATGGATAAAAAATATATTTGAATATGAGTATTTTATGGATGTCCTAAAGTTCCCAGAGAAAGCTCCTTCAGCTCACATGTTCTCAGACTCATGTTCTGCAGTTTCCACAGGTCCAAAGATCTCTGTAAGACTTTTGTTTGTTTCTCACTGAAATTTGTCTGCAGCTGCGTTGTCTGTCCAACAGCCCTAAATTAAAGACAAACTAAAATTATTTTATTGTTTGCATGCAATAAGGTTGATAAAGTTTTAGAGGAGTGGTTCTCAATTCTGGTCCTCGTGGCCCACTATCCTGCTTGTTTTAGTTGTTTCCCTTCTCTTCTGCAGGTCTACAAGTTCTGCAGAAGCCTGTCAATCACTGTTACCATTCATTTACGTCAGGTGTGCCAAAGCAGGATAGTGGGCCACTGTTTTAGAGTGAGATGATGGAAATGTTTAGGTCAAACTTTTAATGTTCTGCACAAAGTCATGCAATGTTCAAATCTGCCTATCAGACATTCACTCCACCAAGGTAAGGACATATTTAAACAAAGATCTGTTAGAGCACATGTTGGGATCAGGCTCAGCTACTACCATACAAACCTTTAGTTCAGTTTGTAAAACGGACTGAGTTAGACGAGTTACTCCTTAACGAGCTGTAAATGTACGTCCAGGGGCAGTGGCACCGAAACCAGGGGGTGGCCAGGGCCACCACAGACAAATCTTTGGCCACCCTGCTGTACACAGCCCTCACACAGTGAAACAACCTTTAGGGGTGTAATAATCCTCCTGAACAGTTGGTGGCAGTGTTTAACAGTTTGAAACATCACCAAGCTCTATCACTGGAGAACAGTAATGACAAAGAAGTGATGTTTTTCTTTATATACAGAACATATGTCTATATAATCTGACTTATTGTGACACATTTTTTGTCACCATAACACAGTGTCATTTTATGTTCTGAAGGCTGAATGATGCTCTGTCCCTTTTGGTTCAAAGTAGACCTGTCACTGAATCAGAAACAGTGAAACACTCCTCTAAATTCACCGCTGGTGATTATCAATATTGCACCTGTTCATTGGGTAAAATTATTAATATTAATATTTAAAATGCAGTTGAAGGTCATCATTATTTGGCACAATGACATGTGTTACAATTAAAAATATATCAATAAACAATATAAAAGTAAAAAGCACCCCTATGGTCATTGGATATGATAAATTGTGTCACATTAATTAACTTTATCTCAGCTGTAGCAGTGAGTTTAAAAACAGGACGATGGAACTAGTTTAATAAATAATCTGTCTCTGAAATAATTATTAAACCAAGTGTTTATTTATGTAGGTAAAAGTACGTTAAACAAGCTGGTAAAATACACCAGAACGCAGGAAAGGACATCTATTTTGTTCAAAATTTTCTGGAGTAGGACCCCCAGACCCCCAACAGTGTGTCCCCCACTTTTAAAATGGTTCTGACTCCATGTTTATAAGGTGGTCACTGCCTGAATGAGGACATAAAGAAATGACTGAAACACAAAGATCTGCAGAAACTTTCAGGTAAAAAACAATGTCATTTCCCTGACCACACCTGTGTGAGTACTGGTCCCAGTCTGACCACCCCTGTGTGAGCGGTGGTCCCAGTCTGACCACCCCTGTGTGAGTGGTGGTCCCAGTCTGACCACACCTGTGAGAGTAGTGGTCCCAGTCTGACCACCCCTGTGAGAGTAGTGGTCCCAGTCTGACCACCCCTGTGTGAGTGGTGGTCCCAGTCTGACCACCTGTGTGAGTAGTGGTCCCAGTCTGACCACCCCTGTGGGAGTAGTGGTCCCAGTCTAACCACCACTGTGTGAGTAGTGGTCCCAGTCTGGCCACCTGTGTGAGTAGTGGTCCCAGTCTGACCACCCCTGTGTGAGTAGTGGTCCCAGTCTGGCCAATCCTATGTGAGTAGTGGTCCCAGTCTGGCCAGCCCTATGTGAGTAGTGGTCCCAGTCTGGCCACCCCTGTGTGAGTAGTGGTCCCAGTCTAACCACCCCTGTGTGAGTAGTGGTCCCAGTCTGACCACACCTGTGTGAGTAGTGGTCCCAGTCTGGCCAGCCCTATGTGAGTAGTGGTCCCAGTCTGGCCACCGGTGAGAAAAATGTCTGGCTCCACCACCGACTGA